TATATATATATATATATATATATATATATATATATAACTAAACGAACTTTATGGTTGTACGGCAGTGAAGCATCAGTGCCAACGCTGATGTTGCTGTCATCGATGATGATGATGATGATGTGGATCTGATTCGGCAAAGATACACGTAGTGTGGATCTAACCCTTCTGCTGTCCATACAAAATGATTCACATTTTCCAAGTCTTACCCTAGCATCTCGACTGCTTCTGTCTAGGCTTGTGCAGCCTTGAAGTAACCGGGCAATCATGCCTCCTTTGGGCATGGTAGCTAGGCACTGAAAGGTTGTTATAGCTGAACGGTTTGATTTTTTGGGAGTTTCCGGCGCACAAGTGGAAAATAAACTCAGCTCGTCAGTGGAGTGAATATATGGCATCTTTAGCTCGGACCCAAGGTGTAGAAATAAAAATGCCTTCTAAAGCTCTGCACTGGTAGCCAACTGTCACTCGGTAGGCACCACCATAACAGCTGGCTTCCTCATATTATTGATGCCTGAAGGCGCGATGATCTCATCGCTATAGGCTTCATATAAAGAGGCTCTCCTGACTGTACTCTTTCTGGAGCATCACCGATTCAGATTGTGCTCTATCTAGGCGGTGAAGCATCAGTGTCAACACTGATGTTGCTGTCATTGATGATGATGACGATGACGATGATGATGATGATGATGATGATGTGCCCTAGTGCCGTGCTGAAGTCCGCTAAATTTGCTTGAAAAACCCAAAAAGGTTTGCTGGCTACTTGAGGCCGAACATGCGCACAAAGAGCTGTCTTATTAGACGTTATTGAAGGTCCGTGATGAAGGCATCATAGAATGATCACGGTACCAATAGGATAATGTCTTGCGCAAAATCATAGATCTCTGCTATTTTGTTTGTTCGCAAGGTCATACTCTACTTCAGAGTCTGTTTCGCGATTTCGACTGTGGCTGTGGCCCAGGAAGACAAATCGATTCATGTTCGGTTGCACTACAGCTAGGGGTCGATAGCTGGTCTCTTTTCGAAAAAAATACGGGCTCTTGCTCTTTCAAATCTCGCATGGGTGACCATAAGGGGTACATCTTATCCAGTGACCAAATATCGAGGGTGACAATTCGTCGCATCGGAACTGCCTCACCTGTCTACTGAGGCACTTTACTGAAACCCGTCCCTCATGTCAATGTACAACTTCAATCAACAGCCAAAGCATTCACACTCTGGTTACTTTATTTCGCGCCTAGTGATGTAGACTCATATTTAATCGTTCTATCTTCTGAGCTCCCTGTCTCACTACTCTTGTTCGAAACAAGTCGATGCAGTGGTTTGCCTGCGCGAACCTTGTAATTTCACGGTATGTCTACAAGGTTGTATATAAGCTTTAGGGTGCATTTATATTTTATACCAGGAATATGGATTGGACCATTATTTTGGCTAGTTTTAGTCTCTAAAGATAGATTACTGTGCGTCACGTAAGCCGGACAAAGTTGACTTATGATAGTCGTCTTCTTCAGAAACTGCCAAAGCCATGGTGTGACTTGTATACATATATCGCGATATCGAATATCGTAGCGACTGAAACATAAGGCGGCCTGGTTCAGCGCATTCAGTTGCCTGGAAACATCACAAACGAGAGATTCAGCTGGGTTCCAGGTGAATCTCTCGCAAAACCAAATTAGTTTGCAAATGAGTGTATTTCCTATAGTGTGACTTGTTCCATGAGCAGATAGTGGATGGTGGATAGAAACAGCCCTATACAACAACCTGATGGCAGAATTCATCACTCATAAAATTGATGAAAAATGTCATAAACGGGCTATTCACCCGGGATTGAGTCTCCGATTTGGACCAAATTAATTCGCGAATGCGTGTATTTCGCGAAACGCTTAATGAGTTCTCTGGAGCTGAGGAAGCGTAGGAGGTACAATTATTTTGTATGAATCAGCTATCTGTTTCTGCTATGATTTTTGTTACGGGCTGTTTGTAGTTCATTCTTTATATGGCTGGGTGGTCGCTTTTTGGAAGTGGTCTTAGTGACTGAGATTCTCCTAAACCTAAGCATGAGAAGCTTGGGAAATTGAAAAACTATCGTGATGAGGGATGGTCTTTATGGGGGAGATGACCGTACCTATATCATGAGTAGTTTTGCTTGAAGAATCATCGTCATACCTCGTTGCTAGATCGTCACCATCTCTCACGTAACTGCGCGAAAGATGTTCTGATCCAGTAGCAGTTAACAATTGAAAACAGAAATTGGACCAGGCAATTCTCTTCCATTCCAATATCAATGTTTCCATATGTTTATTTTATGTTGTGCTCATTTTCAGCTGCTTTGTAAAACTCTGGCATTAGCATGGAAGTTTGGCGGAACCTATTTGTACCAGAAGATATTATTGCTGCCTTGGAAAAATTGAATTTCACAACGCCTACCCCAATTCAGTCATGCGTGTTGCCCAGCGCCATTCGGGACCGTTCTGACATATCGGGTGCCGCTCCCACTGTACGTGCACTTACGCTTTTATTTACAACTAAGACTATTTCCAGGGTAGTGGAAAGACACTCGCTTTTGGAATACCTCTGCTGGTTCACGTCCGTGATGTCAAAGACCGCGAAGTACGTACGTACTCATGCTTCCTTTATCTAGGCGAAATCGAATTAGTCAGTTGAAGCGTGAGACCCACTACTATCCCCTTTCCGGATAAAAGTCGCATATGTGTAGACACAGTAGAAGCCCTCAAAATGTATGTGCCGCTACCAACAAACAGTGCAATGATCACTACTTAGTGTTTTTTGCTTCAATGCCCTCACTGGGGGTATCCTGTGCAAGCTTACCCAAGCCCAACTCCCTGTTTCAGTTCCTAGTGGAAGTTCCAGAGCCTTCCTTGTGTTGGTTCCTCTTAGAAAGTGTCAATGGAATGAGCAAAAGGCTTTACTTAGTGCAAATTCGTTTTATAAAATGGACATAGTATCCTTTTCCAGTTTTACTAACTGTAAAAATCGTCTAGAGCCTAACTAATTCTGATGTTGTGCTGGAGTGGAGTGATTTAATGTTCTCAAGACTTGCATTTCCGACTTAGTGTTTTAACAGCACATTCTGGCTGATTGCCCTCGTTTAACGCACTTTCGTATTCGCTTTTCAATCGACAGTCTAGCATTGCTCAGGACAATGAATGCTCTGATTCCATCAGTAATCCACGAAAGAAACGCAACCGATCTGTTAGTGACGCTCTGCCTGATGCCTCGCACGATGAGAACTTTCATGACCAACCGAGAATGAAACCGAAAAAGAGGAAACGTTTCAAAGAAGTTGGCTTTGCAGATGATGTTTATTCACACATGGATTTTGTTGAGGAACTTGATGTTGATACCGGTGAAGTTCGGGCTTTGCACTCCTTACTCGATGGCCCAACCGAACAAATAGCAAAAGAAGATCGCGGACGATTCACGTCATCCGAAAAGCCGTTGTCTTCGCTCACCAACCGTGTTTACGGGCTTGTACTGCTACCGACCCGTGAATTGGCTTTACAGGTGCGTTTAATTGTAGCTAAATGCTTCATTCCACCAGATGAGATCATCAAGAATGAGATATCAGTCCAATGGAATTCAAATAAAATCATCCCAATAAGAACCCCATTTGGCACGACTGTGAATTTCAGGATAATTGCTTTGAGCTCTTTAAACTCTTCATTAGGGGTCCCCTAGGAAATTATAAGGACCAATTACGCTGAAAATGTGTTGTTAGTCTGCGCTTAAGAAAAAAGTTATGGTCAGCAGTATGTCACGGTATTGATGGCATGTGGTTAACTTTCGTTAGCTGAGCTTGGCAGTCGTCTTGCAGGACGGTTGTCAAGCTCAACTAAGGGATAGAAATAATGACGCAAGTTGTGATGAATCATTCCCCCCAAAAGCCTTTTTCTTTCAACTGGTATTGTTTGCCCTACCCACTAAGGGCTTAATATAATACCTTCCGCTATTCATACTCCGCGTTGTTGTTTGCCATAATCGAGAGTGATTAGGCGCAGAAACTTTGATGGCGAATTCTCCAAACCCGTTTACAAATAAATTTGACTACTCGTAAGTAGCCAGATCATCCATCGTAATGAGGTTGCCTGCCCGCGCAAAATACTTAGTTATTAGGAATCTGTGGGCTATGAATTTTATGGGGTGATTTATGGAAACATGCGTCAGATCTAGGGCAGACACATTAGCTCCATCTAATGGGGGCTCACCAGATGGACGTAGACGAGTTGATTTCCCGAGGCGTTCAGAGGGAATAGTAGCTCCAGGTTTTGGTGACACTAACCGATAAACGACTGTTTGTTGGTCCGTTAAATCTGATATTCGAATACTAATTCACCTTGATTTTTGTTGTGGCTGATTCCTGTTGGTGGACAATCTAGTTCTACGGACAGTCCCATTTGGGTTCAAGTAGAACATAAGGTTGACGGAAACTCGGGGACTGCGCCTACCTGATGAGCCCCAAGTGGGGCGAAACCGGTCGTGGGCTGTCGAGGAGTTTTCAGCAATCTTGTGAGTAGTTTCCTTTAAGAGGAGCAACTCATTCGAAGTCATGCCGCTAACAGTTCCATTCAGACAAGATGAATCCCGTCGTATGTAAGAATGGTTGGTATGGAAACACGCGTGTAAAAACCAATAACCGAGGAAAGGACAAACAGTGCTGAGTGATCTTCAAGGCGCGGTAAGCGCTGGTACAGTCAAGACTCAGGCACAGTGTTCGTCATATTGTGTCCGGTGTGAGATTTAGTGGCAAGATTGTACACTCAGTGCTGTGTACCTCGCATAAAAGTGCATAAAAGAGAGCCCGCAATGGCGAGCAAACACAAGTCACTGACTGTGACCTTAGGGAATCCCAGTCCAATAACAGCCTTGGCCGATTGAGGAAAGCAGATCCCTCGATAAGAAATGATCATCGGCTAGTGGAACAAAGAGTTGACATCACAACCGATTACACGTAGTTGAAGAAGAAGTGATCACACAAAACATTTTGCTCGTCTTGGCTTTGAGTTTAACGCAAACGGTCCTTTAGATTCCGGCTATAGATAAACTGGTGCTCTCTCCGCTCGTCTCTGCAGTATTTTAATAGGCGAGAGTATATTCTGTCCTGGCCAAACTAAACCAGCGACCATCGAATTGCTAAGAGTGTGATGTTATTTGGAAGAATAATGGGGGCTGTAAAGTTTGATGACACAGTGCAAGTGGATAGAAACTCTCCATTTAGCGCATTTCAGTTCTGTCCGATCTTGCCCCACACAAGGCCCATGCAGCTTTACACACTTAGTGACACGAGACCCATCAGCTGTGACAAAAATCGGATTTCACAGGTTTGTTTTTCGTCGTATTCGTAAATCTGGTGCATTAATGACAACATGTCTCCCACATTCGTAAACGTGCTCCATCTGTCATCCGAGTAGTTTAAGATTTGTTCACCTAATTAGCCGTTGCGAAAGAATTAATCTTCTAAGGACTGGAATTGACTGTATCAACTAGAGACTATGATACAAAAGTCGGAACCGAATGATGCAGTATCTCGTATGGTAGTTATGGTCTCAATTTAGGGCAAAGGGCTTCTGTGGAAGCTTTCAATGATGCGGTGTTCGTAGAATTCGCGACAAAATAGCAGTTCCACCTCTGTTTTTCACGCCACCTTCGCTCGGTCGTTTGGTCACGTAAAGTGCGATTGGAAAACAAATTCATAAAGCACTTGGTGATTACTCAGAGAAAATGACCTGAAGAGGAATGAGATGAAAAAAAACAAGAACGTTAAAAATATGGGACTTCTCCTTGTTGCGGCCCTGTTAATGGGTGCCCGAAGCGTTCAGCTGTAGCACCCTTCCGGTGCCTAGCTGCCATGCCACCCGAAGGAAGCACGAGGGCTGGGATACTGCCAGGTTGCCCAAGCCGAGACAGGGGAAGTCGAGTGGCGGAGGTCGGATTCGAACCACGGACCTTCCGGTCAGTAAATTCGCGCTCTAACTACTTGGGCCATCTCGTCCCAAGTGGTGCCCGAGGGAACATTTTGCCTCAAAAGCTGTACATAATACCTCGTCAGAATCCAGACAAATATTTCCCCATTCCGGTTTGAGGATACCCACGAGCTCTGTCCTGCAGTCATGGACATTAGACTATTTGTATACTGCACGCTAGTAGGCCTCTGAAGGCCCCAATGTCTTTGTGACCCTGACTGGAAACTGGCTCATCCAGTATCCTGGTGCTGTGAAACAGAAGCCAGCCGTTTGTATCATGTTGAGATACGACCACCATCTGCCATTTCTGACCGTAAAGGTAATGGGAATTGATCCACTATCCAATCCTTATCGGAGTCTCGGCTGCTACCTTGTGTTGGTGACTTGGATCCCACAGGCTGAGAAAGCATATTAAAGCAGCACAAGATGTCAAAAATCATTTCGTTCGCCAGGACATCTTACCAGTAATTTTTGCCACTAAAGAAGGTGTCGATTGATTGATGAGCTAAGCGGTCACGCAATTCCGGTTGTTTTATTTGTTCTCCAATAAGTGATGATTAAATTAGGCAAATTTAGCCACCCTCCGTATTGCTCTGGTAGATGTACCGACACCAGATACTGCTCTTGGCTTTGGTGCTCTCGTAGTTGAGTTCGAAGCGAGATGAATCGTTCGCCGTCTGTGCTGTTACGTTTCCTCCAAATCTATTGCATGTACCGTCTGCAAGTAATATTTCACGACGTTTGTGAATGTGATATCACGCGCACTAAGTTGCAATTCACGAAAAAGTGACATCTTCCACTTAGTGTAAGACGGTTGGGACTCTAGTAACATGTTATTTCGATGGTCTAATCGGTCGTGTAACTTTGATGAGTGAAGACCAACATAAATGACCGTGGTAACGACGGATCCGGGAATCTATAACTTCAGATCAACTATTGCTACAACTGTTCAACCGCGATGAGGTGGAGCATAATCTACGCCCACTGATCGACGCCAGATCAAATGGAGTAATTTTTGTTGCCATTAAACTCGTAGCCAAGTCATTCATACATAAATGAGACTCAAACGTGTTAATCCAGTCCGCATCACCGGACGAAATACCCAATTGGCATCAGTTTCATCTTGCCCGCAGATGCCATAACCAAAAGGCAAGTGATATGTGGCGGATATCGGATGAATAACCGACAGTGTTTTACATTGAGCATGGTTTTGCCCGAAGTAAAGTGAGGCTGTATAACTCGATAGGTTGCTTGAAAAGTATATCGTGCAGTTGGCGTTGATCTTGTAAAACTATCAGTTTGTCCACTCGACGACGGTCTGTATGACTCTCTGTCCCTTAACGTTTTATTGTGTAATCTGATGGGCCTGCTTCGCGTTTTGTCGAAACCGTCCTTGAAAAGTTAGGTTCAAGTAAGCTTTATTCATTCTGTCCACAATCCATCTTGTGGATTCCCGTGATAATTACTTTAGCCTTCTCGGAGCCGCTGTCGGCCAGGTGAAGCTGCTTTGATCCTTGTTCCGATGGTTAATGTGATGACAGGGAAAATTCATAAGCTTGGATGTTTTGGAACTGCCGGTAAACGTAATGAAAATGCCTCGGAATCCCAAATGTGGACAGAATTTTGCATGGCAGAAGGGAATGAGGAATGTTACAAAAAGTTCGTTTTCTGGCATGAGGTCCATGTAGCCCTCCATGTGCTTGACCTGAGGCACGGAACGATATGATGGCTAACTGATGTTATTGGCGTTCATGCTATCAGTTTCTACCCAGATTGTTTGGCTGAGTACTGGAAGTGTAGGCACCTCATATTTGTAGACTATCACTGGATCCACATACTTGCACGGTTTCTTTCTTCTTTCCATTGTAAGGCTTTATTCAACTGAATTGACATGGCTTTACGGTACCGAAGCACTAATTTTCTCATCGGGTGTTGCTGTCAATGATAATAATGATGAAGAAGATCATAATGGCTGCCGGCGAAAATCTATGGGATCACGTGTTGCCTTAGGGATAGTATTCGTCGTCGGGAGCACACCGTATGTACGTAGCACAGCTACCAATTCATTTTTGTCTTATTTGATTAATTTCACTCATGCACTCTTGGCTTTTTGTGAAACGGAAATCCGAGTGACAGTCCGAGATTTCAGCCCTGGATACGTGCTTCCTCACATAAATCAAGAGATGGTCATTCCTGTACTGGGAGGCGAGATGGCCGAAGTGGTTAGAGCGCGGATTTACTGACCTGAAGGTCCGCGGTTCGAATCCGACCTCCGCCACTCGACTTCCCCTGTCTAGGCTTGGGCAACCTGGCAGTATCCCAGCCCTCGTGCTCCCTTCGGGTGGCATGGCAGCTAGGCACCGGAAGGGTGCTACAGTTGAACGCTTTATCATTCCTGAATTGCCCATGCCTGTCCCGGCGTAACTTTGAGAGTCGGGTAGGTTAACAGAGGTGAATTGAAGCTAGGGAACTCCACGATCTTGTAATAGCTGACAACCCTGGGCTTAAAGTTTGGTTATTACGCAGCTCACTGTCAGGCGGTGAAGTTTTATGTTTGGTACTTTCATGTCCATTTAAATTGCCAGAGGACCACATGTGGCAAAAAGCACTTGTTCTCTGTCTCCTTATTCTGACGACAAAAAAGGAAGTCGTTTGGAGGATAAAAGTATTTTCAGATACACCTCATCGATATTCGGAACTGGCTGAGAAACTAACAGTTTTGTCAGCAACTGACAAACTACGGAAATAATCGTGTTTCGGTGCACTGGATTTGTGAAAAAAGTTTTCACAGTGATTCACTATCTCCCTTAACTGCTACTAACGAGTGTCCGTATTACTTGAAAAATTTCAGTTGGTAAACTGTTAAGGCGAGTTAACGGAAGGCACGGTGTAACTTAGGCCGATAACCACTGGTGTAGAGGTAATGCGAGCCTCTTGTTGTCGTTTACACCTTTTCCAACCCTATTTATCTAGCTGATTAGTTTGATTTTGATGAAATATTTTCATCTCATGTAAAATTGCTCGGAATGAACACCTCAGGCGTTGATTGATTGTTTCCTTCAGTTTATCGCTGATGATAGCTTCTGTAATTCAGTGGACTCATGCTAATCCCTTTAGAGAACATTCGGACCAAAGGTAGTCTCGCGAGACTGGGATTTATCTCCACCAATGGGCTTTTTAACCTAAGGTAATTGGTGGTGATTGGGTCACCAAATCGGGCAGACATCACTGAGCTAATGAGAGACTCCGACGCACTATTAACTTTATTTCGATAATTAGGTGTGGACTTAGCAGAGTGTGTTCAGGTGATGAGGAGTTAATGCAATATCAATCATGTTTCAAAAAGCCTAATGGATAGTCCTATCGGTAAGAGTTACGGGCACATGAATTGCACATCGGAACCGTAGAAAGCAGATGATGGAGTTAATACAACAGTCAAAAAGAATTTTTCGTCACTTTTGTTGCAATATATTACAGATATATACCACAAACAACCTTAAATGGCGATGCGACTTACTGGTGTTAAATCTATTTATTCATTTTATCTCTCCGGCACTGTATGGTCTGATTAGTTTTCCAAGGCACACCTGTAACAGCGCTGCTATGGAACATGACGGAACCAAATGGTCAGCAAAATAATCGTATAGAAATTTTTCTAAAGCAAGGCTTTGCGACACGTAAATTTGGAATCCAATGTCCAATAAACTGTGCAGTAGCTTGGCATGATTCTGTTCACCAGTACTTGGATATATATACACAAAAGTTTTGTTTATGGGACGACCCTCACTTAGAGACAACTAAGTTCTGCCCCGCAATAAAGAGTTTCATTTTAATACCACCATCAGTAGCCATATACCGTATACCCTTAAGGGATTGTTCACTATTTGGTACGCCTCAGCTAAATTGCTCTTGACAGAAAAGAGCGAATTCGGTCATATTAGGGATGGGACCCTGCTTCAAAAATAACTGCTTTTGGCACAACAGTGTTTCGCATCTCGCGAATGTGGTGCACCAGCATGTGATAAGATCTGTCCTGCGGGACCGCAACATGTGTGGTGGCTAGCAGGAAACATTTGTTATGAACTCCAGGAGGGGAGAGGAATATTTTATGACGAACGGCGCCATTATTTCATGGCCTATAGCTGATATTGATCGTTTATTTTGTACGTAAGCGCACTTTGCAACTCGTTTGAAGACAGCTGACCGGATAACGCTACGGATCATCATACCTCTGCTCTTATCCATAGGTACATCACCATCTCCGAGCGCTCGCTGAGTTTATGGATCGTCGCCCGAGAATCGAAGTGATTGTTGGTGGAATTTCGCTGCAAAAGCAGGAGAGACTACTGCGATACAATCCGGACATATTGGTAGCTACACCCGGCCGTTTGTGGCATTTTATTCAGCAGGTAAGTGTGTACTGTGTTGTTTTAATGAACAGGCCTCGTTCACTACCAGTAGCTTTTTTGGATTTTTGAACTCCAGATTCTACCAATACTTTCAGTTTACTAAATTTTTCTCGTTTTTCAGACTGACCACGTACATTTTGTCTCCAGCAGATACAACAGTACCGGTAACTGCTGCATATCTGATCCTTTTTTGCACTGTTTTAGATCCAGCCCCCTGATCTTCCTATTGCTCAGACAAGAAAGCTGTTATTGTGTAATAAGAACCACCGCTCTTTGGAAAAAGTAAAGGCTATTAGATCGAGGGTATTGGAGATCCCACGTACAACACCTGGTGGGACGCTGCAGTACAGCTGGTTCGTCCCGTTGAGATAACACAGGTAGGAAAAACTTCAAGCTTTTAGCTGCTATGCCACCCTAAGGAAGTACGAGGGTTGGTATACTGCCAATTCGCCCATGCCTTGACAGAAGTTGGGGTACACGAACCTTCTGGTCAGTAAATTCGCGCTCTAACCACTGAGCCATCTCGCCCTCTGACTCCAGGTAACGGGAGATTCGGTTCACAACATGTATTGAACCGCAGAACGCTTGAGCTCACCACCTTTCCGTACCCCACAATTACTACAGCTTCTCAAGTTATGTGAACGTGTCTGGTGATGTCGCCAGTATCACTCAGATTCAGTCAGCGTCAAATTAGCTTTTTCAGTTGGTAATTGATCAGGTGGCTGTTGATCTGTTCGCCGAGCTTGGCAATTAGTTTGCAAACGTTTCGTCACCATTCGAGGAGACATCTTCAGTGCGCGACGAAACGTTTGCAAACCAATTGCCAAGCTCGGCGAACAGATCAACAGCCACCTGATCAATTACCAACTAATACACCCGAGCTACCAGTATTCCAACACATTACCAGCTTTGTCAGTGAACTAAAAAAGCAACACTGTTAGGTATGGGATTTTGTTGCGTACATCCGAAACATTTGCTACTCGTTTCCACCGGCAGACAGCTCCATAGGATGTTTGAATAAGACAAAGCAGCTGGAGAACTACACATTTACAAATCAATTAGGCGTTAACGGGCTGATTGACTGAGCTTCGTCTGGAATTTTCACTTGACCAATCGCTGGTTTTTGTTACTTTGAGTGCAATTATTGGCCTGGCCGATCTCCACTTCCGATCTCAGGTCTGTAAAGAAAGCACATCGATTGACAGAGTCGCGCGTCCATGTTCATCCGAGCTTTCGTCTCCGATATTACTCATCAGCTGATGAATGAAAATCAATGCATTCGATGCCTTAACATTAGAGCCATGGTGACGAACCCGCATGCGGAAGATATTCAACGGGATCATTACCAATCGGAACTTGATGTATATGGCCCAAATGACCCGATGTATGACTCACTCTTGTCCGACCATTCTGGAAAGCTGCAACACCATGGATTGTTTGGTTCATGAGTCTCGGTTTGGGATGGATGTGCAGAATTATCTGGAAGCGAGAGTGGCTGATAACCTTATACTTGTGCATGACCGGTCCACCGATTATATAACAGTCAGCTGAAAAGTTAGACGTTGCATGGTTGTATGTCATAATATGAACTGCTGGAGACAAGTTCCTAAAAACGCCTAATGTAATCTCTCTCTTTTCAACAGGGTCATCCTCATGTTTGCACGCTCCGAACTATGAACATTTTGGTGGTTGATGAGGCAGATCGACTTTTGGAAGCGAACCATTTTGAGGACCTACGACAACTCTTCAACTGGTTGAACAACCACACTGCCTCTGACCCGACAAAACAGAGACGGAAACGTCAAACTCTCCTATTCTCTGCTACCCTTGCATTCGTGCATCAGGGGGCCGTGAAACCTGGCGCACGTTCCAAACAGAACAAGCGCCCGTCGGCGGCCAACGCTTTGACGAAACAGCTGAAATTGGGCAAGTGTTTGTAGATGATTTTTAATGGACAGAGTAATGTTGCAACCATTTTTTTCATCAGTTCTCCCAGCACTGTGGTTCTTAGCATGCTAAGATTTGGTATGCTGATAACTGGACCAGTTACCACCGATTACGTTTCGTTCTCGGCTCAGCTAAGCCTATTTGTCCCGTACATATCCGGTAACCCACCATAGGCGAATGATCAAAATAGTCGGTGGATGGAGTCCTGAAGTTCCACTTTGATTTTGGCTACGTCATTTACCCCCTCCGAGGAGAAGCCACCGCTGTGAAAGTATCACTCTGACCTTCCATGGGTTGGAACTCTCTTCGAATGACCATGTTTTTGACATGAAAGTAATACACCAGTTCATCTAGTATCAGTCTAGTGCAGACCACACTGAATTTTTCTTATCTTCACTAGAAGTAATCGCTGCTGTTTCAAAGCGAACGTCTTGCTTACTCGATGACCCGGATGGCATGTGTTCATGCTATTTGTCGGTTTCGCTTGGTTATATCTCGTTTTCCAGAGCAACCAATCGAAATCTTCACTCAACTTTAATTTTCTGTGTGCAAACGAAGTCGCACTGCAAAACTGGCGTTGACTGTTCAGGGAGGCCTACAAAATCCCTCAATTATATTAGACATTATTCTGAAACTAGTTGCTGTTATGGCCTCTGCATCCTTTATAGATCGACATAGGCCCAAGGTCACATCTCAGGTACCGTGTTCTTTAGCACAAGCTTTACTCACTTCTAAAGGAACAGCACCCTTCATATTCTTTGACCATACAGTTTCGGCTAGGGGTGTATCAGAACTCTACCCGGACGGTATTGTGTTCTGTATCCACTAACAGTCGATACACCATTCTTCAGGTTTTGTATTTGGCACGTGAGCCGCCATAGTTGCCGGCTATAGTATGATGGTTGGTGCCACATAAGTAGTTTTAAGGAGGGGAAGTTAAGCTTCGTTCGTTCACTGCAGCATGAAGTAAAGCTCAACATCTATCATGTATTAACGGTTCCTTTCTACTTTTGAATTTGAGGCAATAGGCAAGCCGTTCAGAATTGTCATTTGGTCTTTGAAACGTACTGTTTTTTATATGAATTTTTATGGCTGGTCGGATTTATGGCTTTTCTTGGATGGTAAAATAAATTAGGAATCATGGTTATAGGATTTTTAGGAAGTGACCTCTCTTGAGGTGGGGACTATTTTAGAAAATAAACGGACGATGCCTGATGTATAATCTTCCAAAGAGTACCCCTTCTCAGTATTATCCTTGGAGGCTTACTGTAGCAGGGTTGGTCCGAATCTCCACTCTTTTCTCTGATGATTAGCGCGTGGCATTGGTTAGGTATGTAGGTGTAATCACAAACCTCACCCATTCGACGAAACAGAGTCAAATCATAGACACCGGGCAGTCTGTGCTGATGTAAAACCGGTCAAACTGAGTAGTGGTTTCACGCTGTGAGCAACCTTATCTCCCTCCATACCCACAGCGTATTAGCATCCGAATCCGAATCCACCCATTACACTCAACTACGCTGACGGAATCCCGTGCAGGACAGGTAGTGCTGCATGTAATTTCTGCTCAGCCACCTGCGCAACTGTCTGAACGCCGTTTATGCTATTAAACTCGAGGGTACATGACCAAAGGCTAATTAAGAGAGAACAGTTTCAGAACCCGTCGGTATTCTCGATTGGTAACCCATTTGGGCACAGCCAAGTCGTACACAGGAAATGTGGACTGATGACCGGCGTCACTCGTAGCAAGCACCCAAGGTACACACATATGGCTATCCGGTGTTAACCAACTTTCAGTTTGGTTTCATTCTTTTAACTGACCTTAACTTTTTAAGCTTGAAGTGTCCTGATTTTACCGTATCTATCAACTGTGTGTGAACAGTGGTGACAGGGGCTATCAAAGGATCCTCGTCATTATAACGCTAGAGTTAGACGGATTGAGTGGTATGAATGACCTATCTTTGGCCACCAGAAATTACACATTTAGGGCTGATACTACCGAACATATACTATTGTTTATGCTTCTTATCACTCTCTTCAGGCGCTCTTCGTGATCTTTTGGGTATGAGCCAGCGTGCCAAAGTGTTCGACCTATCTTCGGCCGAAGAGCTGAATCAGACAGATGATTCCGAAAATGTCAGTGGCCTGGTACTGCCTACAGGATTACGAGAAATGCGTTTGCTTTGTCCCGATAAACCATCCAAGGATATACGCCTGTTCTGGTTCCTCGCCTTTGGTCGACACCATTCGGATATGGACAATCAGCGTTGTCTAATTTTTCTCAACAGTAAAGCGGGGGTTCGTCGACTGGCAGGTGTTTTGCGTCAGTTGGTATCCGTCAATGCGTTTTCTGTCGGAAGCCGGACCGGCATGCAGAACGTCAATATATTGCATGCCGACATGATGCAAAAACAACGATTCCGTGCTTTGGAAAGGTTTCAGGGTGGGTTTTTTGCCAGTTTCATTCCTGATACGTTAGTCTAAAGCAATCAATGTTACTGCTCTCCGTATAGATACATGTCAATGTTTCTCCGCAATTTCTGGTTTTGTCTGTTATATATCGGTGAAGGTAAGTATCGGTTTGACTGCTGTTGTAAGAGAGCCTCTGGCCTCACGGATTCTTCGTCGTCTAAAGGTAGAACGTGAAGCCTCAACCCATGAGCACCAGACTTAGTTTTGACCGGATAGAGGCTGAATCAGCCACATCCTTTTACTCATTTGGGTGTTAAGATAGCTCCCTATTTACAACCCACACTAATAGAATTCTTTGACTTCACAATTGCGTCCAATTCTGTCGGTCGATCACTGTTTTTAACCACGTTTTCTCAACAGGGATTCCTTTGGAAGTATGTCTAAATTTGATAGCTCGAGTGAATTTATTGGCTATCGATCAGTTCGCTGAGCTTGGTAGTTGGCTGTCAAACAGTTCATCACCACCCATAGGGACATCGTCAGTGCACGCACATTGACTAATCTGTTTTCTAATCACAACCAAGATTTTCCAATAACCCAGTGTCATTTTCTATAACATGGTACCATAATGTATTTCTTTCCCCTATAATTTCAGCTGACCGTTATGGAATTCTCTTAGCCAGCGATGTTGCAGCTCGGGGCTTAGATTTGGCAACCGTGGACGGATCCAATGCCAGTGGGGTAGCATGGGTTGTTCACTTTGAAGTTCCTCGGACAGCAGAATTATACATCCATCGGCGCGGACGCACTGCTAGAGCCAATCGCTTTGGGACGAGTTTACTGTTTGTATGTCCAGAAGAAATGCCCCTTTGGCGTAGGCTAGCGACAAGCCTCAAACGCACCGGTGAGCATTAACCCCTACCCCTATTCCACTCAGTACGCATTCTCCATTACTAATCATATACATTCTCATAAAATGAGGCGAATCTTTTACAGTTTTTAAACAAATTTGATCCTTTGTGTACGCTGTTTCGCTTTACGAATAATTTCTTCTATGCATACAGATCCCGATCTCCCTGATCTACCTTCGGAGCCTTCACACTTCCAGTTAGTTGCCTGTGAAAAGATAGTCAATTTGGCGAAACAACTCGACCTGGCCGAACATTCAGCCGTTCGCCGCGCGGCTAACGAAGATTGGTTTCAACAGGTTGCAAAAGAAGTAGACATTGAGCTGGATTCGGACTTTGAGCAAAAGGACGATCCCGAGTAAGTTTTTCGCTTCCTAGTATCCTTTTTGTGACTACCGGTAAGCAGATCAATTGCTGACACCCATTAGTCCTGTGTCCTTTGAAAAGTGAGGCTTTTTTCATTGTATTCATCGGCTTCCCGGACCGGATGTCGACCAGGCGGTGACACAGATGTGTGACTTAGGGACAACCTTTTTCGTCCGGAAACAGATATCAGGTAGTAGATTTTCTGCCTTAGCATACCGACTTTCATACAGCAACTGCTGTATGTTTGTGTTGAGGCTTAGGACAAGCGAGTGGCTCAAGACTAATCACATTTTTGTACCCACCTGATTTTCGTAGGTAGTTCGTGACCATGGGATTGTAAGCTTACCGACAACAACATTCTTCTATAATGCTCGGATGACCGTGTGTCTCAGTGAGTTGAGCCAAACTGTTCTTTTTTTTGCCCCAGCTACTATTAGACAGATTTCGTGTTATGATTTTCTTATTTACACAAACGGGTTCTCCTCGATCATTTGACCCGCGACATTAACGACGATAGCTCGTTCTAGAATATTTTGAAAAATTTGCCCTTCAAACTGTCTTGGGTCGATTCACCAGCATCCAGGTCGCATTTGCCGGTCAACGGGGGATGAAACCACTGTACACCTACGAACAGTAGAAAAGGCCCAGGCCGTTTGTGCTGAGCAAAATGTGGTGCTGCGCGCAAACCCTTGAAAGTAACGATGGTCGATAGATCATTTTCGCTGGCCCGCTATCGTTTGAATATCATTACTTCCGATAATTCATTGATTTGAAGAATTGTCTGATTTCTCATATTGTCTTATTTTTTCACCGTTTAACCAGGAAATATGCTTAAGTGAACGGAATTCCCGGTCAGATAGACCAAAAATTATCCAATGCGCCGACGAAATCTTGCCCTGGTTCATAAGCAAGAGCAGTAAGGCAACGTTGTGGACCCTGGTTTGAGTCTGGTCATGCGATATTCTGGGACAATATTGCAAGAATTAAGACTCGGATACACAATTCTTTTCAGTGGAGACTGTCATAAGACTCATAGGTCCCATGGCAGAAGATTTACGGTTGTTTGGCATTCCGAAAGCGTTTCGAAGTAGGCCGAAACCATTAAGCTCTTTAATCCGCTGAACACTCGTCCTTCTCCGATGCAACGAAGCATTTAAATGAAACAGGTCGCCACAAATGGTGAATCGGACTTACATATGCACTCAACTCATCTTACTTCTATTCAGTTAGTGTCGGCACATTTGTGACTCTTATTTTCACTCTGTTTTAGTGGAGTATGTACCCCAAAAAATAATGAACAAAAATCCCACAAACGACGCCAGATACGCAAACAACTCAGTGACCTCCGCAACACTTTGTCTCAGGTGAGGCATTTGGTTTGTTCTCTTGTTTATTCTGGACTGTTACAGACAACACTTTCCCTGCTATTATGTTCACCGTTAGTTCAGGTTATTAGAATGGTGTACTTCTGTTTGAAGCTAAACGCTCGTCTGCGAACGGAGGTGACACTAACCAGCACTCAATTGAATGTGTCGTTTTTTGAGATACTGGGCCACGTGGTGATCCTTAATGGAACGAACCTCGTAGTGCGCTGTTGGAGAATTGTAATCTGACTTGGTTGTCAGTGAGTGTAGAGGTGTGGACACCTCGGGTGTTTGCGGTGGGCCATCACTGTGTCCCTTTCCCTCGACACGGGCCAACGATTTGGTGCAGAACCACTAGTGAGGATGTTCGTGGTTGGAACTCAACTCTGACTTCTAGGTTCTTCTCGGCTTGGACGACTTCGTACTTCCTTCGAGTTGCGCGGCAGCTGTACACCGAAAGGTGCCACGGATAAATGGTTACTATTTATTGCATTCCCTTAATTGTGGACTTTGTCTAAAATGACTGACATGTGTGTACGGCGACTGTACACCAGTGCTATCAAACGTGCTGCTGTCCAAAAAACTATTGGTCAGTTTCATCCAGATGATGATCTCAATAAGACAGTGTTTTGTTGTTGTTGTTCTTGTTTCCGGCCCTTGGCTGGTGCAGACTCGCGGTACGATTTCTGAACTATCTTGTTCTGTTGACCATTCGTATAGGACCCTTCCTCAACGATGTCGCAAGCATAGGTAAACACCGGAATGAGGTTTACACACCGTTGTTGCCCTAGTGGACGACGTCGAAATCCCGTGGTTCCATAAATGTTGATGGATTATCCCAGTGGCATGATGTTCATGTACAGCGAACGCGTCCGATATTAGTGCTGAAAATACGATGGGGGGACATTAAGCTGTTCGCCTCAACCAATATACAAAATGGGGGCTCTCACTATTTAATACCAGATTATAGATGTGGTCGAAGCTATGGGATCTTCATTGCAGGATGAGCGGCAAGAACATTGAAACCCACATTTTCTCACAGTTTTAACTCGTGTCACAGCGGTATTCTTTGTCTGGTAAGGATTGTTACAAAAGCAGGCATACTCGACAGGCTATCCATATGTATACCAATGGACTGTAGTTTACCCGTACTTCAATGGTCCGAGTAATGACGCGATTTTGGAGAAGCATTGAGTGGGTCTATATAGAGCAAATTTACCATTAGAAAGGAAATGCCACCGAACTAGCTATCTTCCGATCATGGCTGCGTCTCCAGCAACCTCATTGGAATCATCGGTCCGTAAAACTCCATTGGCTCCCGGTAGGCCGTAGTTAAATGTGCCCCTTGAACCTTAACGCAATTTTCAACACGTTGTCCAAATCGATGAACTAACGATATCCCTCTTCTACTTTGAATCCGTGTAAACCTACTGACCGGTCAATTAGGCTTCACCGCGCAGTTATTGTAGGATCGAGGAAAAACGAAAACATGGTGTAATACAACAGCAGTTGACACAATGCCTGGAATTAACAGGTTTGGAGAAGCATGTTCACATATTTCACTAAGTTCTGGCTATAAAACGACCATCGAAGGAGTGTTATCTACAAAGACAACCTGTTCGTCACGTGAGTTAGAACCTACCCGTACAAACTTTAAATAGCCCGGTTCTTTGTCTTGAACTTTTTTGAGCATAAAATTATGAACGAAAATTTGTTTCGTGTATGATACAAAGGGCTCCTGTTGACTACTTCTTCTTCCCTGCTTCCCCTCCAACTAGTTGGTCGCTGATTGTCGAAGGAGTCTCGAGAAAAAGCCGACGCTCCCTTCCTCCGTGCAGTGCACTTCGAAAAGACTGATAAGACAACAACTGAAGAAGCTTTCGAAAGCACGGACTATGAATAATGGTCTTCTAAGTTCTGTACGATGATTGAAGTTTGCCAAATACGTGTACAGATATATATTACGAAGTAGTTACTTCCGCGACGAGTGTTCCATTCCTTCCTTCGACAACCTTCGGGTAGCATGGCAATTAGGCACTGAAAGAGTGCTACAGCCGAATGTTCCATTTATAGAAGCGCTCATTTCAGTTAATCAGTAACCAATGCACAGCAGTTATCCAAACGACGCTAAAACTATATAGAACCCGATCTGGTGATTGTTTTGACTTTCCTGACAGCTGAGCATGTGATTTGGATCGTAGAAATCTAGGTATGTACATTCCATCTGATAGCCTGCGTTGATTAGTGCGGCGAGTTTTGCGACGTCTACTCTTTTTATCCCGAAGAATAAAAATAGTGTTGAAAGTACATTGTAAAAGTGGCTCTTTGGGCTCAACAGGTGGATCTGATAAAATAATGAGCTACTGATAAGGTTGCTCAACAATTGGTTATTCCAACAGGAGTACAGTATGCAACGGGCACATACACCTGTTATTGATATGCACATTTTGGATTGACTCTACGAACTCAAGTGTCCTCATGACTATGGGTTCACAACTCCCGGCGTACGATTTCGATCGGGTCTTTTATCCACCTTAGTGATGGTGTGGTACGGTCAGTTGCTGATATAAAAAGTCATTCTTAACAGACGTTTGTCTTTGTATATTTTAGACAGTCCGTACACATGAGCTGCATGAGGAAGTGAAATTAAGGGATCTGCACTGAGGCCTTGTTACAGAACCATGGTCTTCGTTCCGGACATCGTCTACCCTTGTAAATTTCGTATTATCAGAAAGCACTTCGAACAGTTTATCGACAATCGGTTTCGCTGAGTAGAACTACCCTAGAACCTTTATCTGTACGGAGTAAAATCACGCCGGAATGTGCATAATTCGAAAGCTCGGTAGTTATGTTTTTATACCAACCTACATCTGTCTGTCCCTCTAGAAGGGATATGGCTTCCGAAATGTTGAACTGTCGTCTGAACTCTGCCTTGAAAGCTGCCTTCTAAGCAGCCCTATTGAAGTGCAGCACACCAGTGGTCCACGTCTAAACACCAACATCAAGGATAGATTGCCGGACCGTGATTCACCAATGGTGATTATTCATTTGTTTCCCTGTGTTCAGCAAATTATAGGGGTCGCACGACTGGTCGCCTATTCGAGGGGATTCGCGATCGCTGCTCATCCGATCGATACCAGCCACCAGATCAATCCGGTGGAATTGCGATTTACGGAATGTCACCGAATAGTCCCAAGACTATGCGCCAAAGAGCATTGGAAACAACCGAGGCGATAACTTTTCGGTCACTTGAACTATGCCGTCGTCAAAAAAAGGCATCGACCTATTAACCACAGTCCCCAACAAACAACCTGACGTAACTTCCTTGTTTCAGACCTACTGTAGAGCTTCCGGGACATTTACGATCCGGCTCCACTTACCAGAAGCCACGCTGTCGAAGCCCAATGTTCGCAAACCGTGTTTTAATATCGTGTACGCAAGGGTCTTCCCTCGTCTAGGTGATCGAACCGCAGATAGGGCACTATGTAAGTACGTTCAAATTTTGCTGCCCCAGCTTATGCAGCCTGACACCAGTGCGACATTCTTTGGATTTTGTCAGTATGATAAATTCAGAGTTCCACAACCAAAAGTGTCCGGTGCAGATAATATGTTGTATTGCGAAACAGTCCGCATATCCAAATGATGAGCTAATGTAAGCGGCAACGAAGAAAATCGTATGGGAATGGATATCCGCGCATCAGAAGGTCCCACAAATTCGCGGCAATGCACCACAAATATGGGTGACAAAAAATCAAGAAACAAAGAATTGATGGGCATAGGGAAATCACTAATGCGAACATGTGAAATTAAGCGTGACAAATTTTCGGGGCGTAAATCAACATAGGATTATGATNATCAGACTGACATCGGAATAACTATGCCTTGAAGGTCACCTCACAGGGCTAAGTTGGATTGAAATAAAAAGTTTCGAGTGTAAATCGTGACCCGAGAAGACTGAAGACGAAAACTGATATTTTGCTTTGAATGGGCACTTGATCAGATAAAATACTTATAAGAAAAACGCGAACAGAATACCGACGCGCGTTAGAAAAGATTTACGGAAGAAAAAAGCTCTGTCACATGGTCTGCTGGAGGATTTGAGGGATCCGGTACCGTTTGGCAGTGGTGCACAAAACTTATAGTGTTTTCCAAATGTCGAACAATCTCTTCGGCAGCGGCGGTAGTGGGGTTGAGCTCATCGATCAGGGCTTTCACAGTTTCAATCAACTTGTTTATTCGGTCGTCCGTGACCTTAAAAAGCAGGGAAACAGGATCGTCTCCTCAGAAGGATACAATTTTAAAGTGCACAAAAGTATCAAGTTTGATGAAATGACCCGCCCTGTTTTACCGTCGTTTCGATACTCGATTAACGGATGCTTCAATCAGGCGCTATACCTGGATGAAGTCAAGAAACAGGCGCCGACTCTATATATCACTAGTGGTCGCCGAATAAAGGAGATACACACTCATTGGACCGCACGTCGGAATCCCGGAGATGAGATTTACTGTCAAATCCGACAAGCCAGGCAGCATATTTGCCATTGGGTCACATGGTAACTAGGTAATTTGTTGAAATATTGGTAGCTCGGGTGAGTTTATTGGTTGTTGATCAGGTGGCTGTTGATCTGTTCGCCGAGCTTGGCAATTGGCTTGCAAACGTTTCGTCACCATACGAGGAGACATCATCAGTGCGTAGTTGAGTGCGCACTGATGATGTCTCCTCGTATGGTGGCGAAACGTTTGCAAGCCAATTGCCAAGCTCGGCGAACAGATCAACAACCAATGGTAACTAGCTTTCAACTGTCGGGCGTGCATAGTAGTTGTCTGTGGACCGCTCTAAAATGGGCGAATCGATCATTTAAACACCTCATGAGATATGCTTCGTACACCCTAGTCTGCCAATCTAGTGAGTCCCAAAGGGTGCAAACCTAGAAGTAGATCTAGAGCTTTCATTTCACTATCAGCTATAAAAAACGCGTACTTGTCGTACAGTGGTTGTGGCTGCCGCAGTTTCGTTCACCGATGATTTGGGGAGGGTAGGTAGGTACGCATCGAAGGCAGGAGCTGATAAATTGTGCGTACATACAGGACTGTCAAGTGGGGAGATTGGGAAGGGAGCTATACACTGAAGGCAATAGCACGAGCGCTACCCAGGTGCGACTGAAAGAGTTTTGACGTCCTCAGAGCGCTTCGACCAGGTTTCTGACCGATTTGCGCAGCAGCTTTGTAAACTCCATCATTGATGGATAAGATGATATCATGCCTAAGCCACAAATGTTTCAGGTTCACGAAAACTGTTCTAACCTTCCCATTCGGAGTCCATCGGAACAGATACGGCTGCTCAGGCAGACTAATTTGTCTACCACCTCAATCGGGTCGTTCGCAAACATGAAGTTAGAGTCCGAACCCAGCCAGTCTTGCAGTAATACTTTGCAGGTATGAAGCGCATGCCAAAACGTGGAAATTACTAACTAGGTTATCTAACATTCTTCGCACTACCACGGCGTCACAGCCAAAAAGAGATATGTCGTCTGTGTCCTCGGTATCTATAAGCGGACGCCCTGCGAGTACTTCGACCCCACACGCACCAGACTGCTAAGGTCGTTCGCAAACATGAAGTTAGAGTCCGAACCCAGCCAGTCTTGCAGTAATACTTTGCAGGTATGAAGCGCATGCCAAAACGTGAGGCGAAATTACTAGGTTATCTAACATTCTTCGCACTACCACGGCGTCACAGCCAAAAAGAGATATGTCGTCTGTGTCCTCGGTATCTATAAGCGGACGCCCTGCGAGTACTTCGACCCCACACGCACCAGACTGCTAATGAATCTTCCAGGATCATATTAATGACGAATTTGAAGAGGAAAAGTGAAAGAAGACAGCCCTGTCTGACACCACTTAATGTGGTAAACCCAAAAGAGAAATTCCTGAATACCTTCACACATCCGCGGAAGTTTGGTGCCCTAAGGAAGGTTAGGAATTTATGCCGGACACCTTTGCTCCACAGACACTGTCATAGTGTCTGGCGATACACAGTCAAAGGAAGCATTCAGATCGAGGAATACAACCAGTGTTGGTAGCTGGAAGCAACGTTGCTGTTCCATAATCTGTCGGAGGGTGAAGATATGATAGATATGCAGGACGGAACCCAGCTTAGTTTTCACGGATCTTCTCCCTGTGTTCAGTCAACCGTTGAAGGATACGTACAGCTACCAGACTGATTCCACGGTGGCTTTCACACAGCGTCCATGTGCCTTTTTTGAAAACAAGGATAACTATCGACATGCCCTATTATGTAGGCACTTTTTCCTCACTCCTTATTCTACGCCTACTTTGAAGAGGGCTGGATAAAGACCGTCCGGTCCTGATACCCTGTCACGTTTCAGTACAGGTATTTAATAATTTATTTCTTCTCCCACTGAATCGCCAACTATTCCTACTTCTTTTACGTCTACTTTCGTTTCCACACTATTTATGGCTAGTTTTCTATTACTCTAGTCTACTTCGCCCACACTCTACTACACTTATTAAGCAAGAATGAGTGAACACAAAACACACCGATACGGAGCAAGACATTTGATAAACCTTGAAAATTCAAAAATAACGAATAAATGAGTGAACAGAGACTCGAACAATCAAGTTCTTGCTTTCCACACAGAAGCAACAGGGAACATGCGCCGGTGGAGGACCGATTCGTAAGTGGGAAATAGTAGTTCATATCCACCCATCCAGGAACGTTTTTCCATTTACACAATGTGTAAATGGAAATTTCCGCATTCTTTATGTTTAGCAAGTCCACACCTACTATATCCATTTTACATGAGTAAGCTCCCGGTGGATGTATGATATCGAAGTCATCATCATCACTGTCAGCTGTAATAACCGCGTACTTGTCGTACAGTGTTTGGAGCTGCCACTGTTTCGTTCACCGATGATTCAGAAGGCGAGTAGGTAGCTGCGCATTGGAGGCGGGAGCTGATAAATTAGTGCGTGAATACAGCACTGTACGTGGATTGTTAAGTGGGGGGATTGGGAAGGGAGCTATACACTGAAGGCAATAGCACGAGCGCTACCCAGGTGCGACTGAAAGAGTTTTGACGTCCTCAGAGCGCTTCGACCAGGTTTCTGACCGATTTGCGCAGCAGCTTTGTAAACTCCATCATTGATGGATAAGATGATATCATGCCTAAGCCACAAATGTTTCAGGTTCACGAAAACTGTTCTAACCTTCCCATTCGGAGTCCATCGGAACAGATACGGCTGCTCAGGCAGACTAATTTGTCTACCACCTCAATCGGGTCGTTCGCAAACATGAAGTTAGAGTCCGAACCCAGCCAGTCTTGCAGTAATACTTTGCAGGTATGAAGCGCATGCCAAAACGTGAGGCGAAATTACTAGGTTATCTAACATTCTTCGCACTACCACGGCGTCACAGCCAAAAAGAGATATGTCGTCTGTGTCCTCGGTATCTATAAGCGGACGCCCTGCGAGTACTTCGACCCCACACGCACCAGACTGCTAATGAATCTTCCAGGATCATATTAATGACGAATTTGAAGAGGAAAAGTGAAAGAAGACAGCCCTGTCTGACACCACTTAATGTGGTAAACCCAAAAGAGAAATTCCTGAATACCTTCACACATCCGCGGAAGTTTGGTGCCCTAAGGAAGGTTAGGAATTTATGCCGGACACCTTTGCTCCACAGACACTGTCATAGTGTCTGGCGATACACAGTCAAAGGAAGCATTCAGATCGAGGAATACAACCAGTGTTGGTAGCTGGAAGCAACGTTGCTGTTCCATAATCTGTCGGAGGGTGAAGATATGATAGATATGCAGGACGGAACCCAGCTTAGTTTTCACGGATCTTCTCCCTGTGTTCAGTCAACCGTTGAAGGATACGTACAGCTACCAGACTGATTCCACGGTGGCTTTCACACAGCGTCCATGTGCCTTTTTTGAAAACAAGGATAACTATCGACATGCCCTATTATGTAGGCACTTTTTCCTCACTCCTTATTCTACGCCTACTTTGAAGAGGGCTGGATAAAGACCGTCCGGTCCTGATACCCTGTCACGTTTCAGTACAGGTATTTAATAATTTATTTCTTCTCCCGACGGGCGATCAATGTTTACATTCCATTCGCCTGTATGCACTATCCCTACAGGCTGTGCTGCAGGAAGCCGGCTAAACTTTTCTTCGAATTGTTCAACCCATCTTTCCAGTCGACAATTTTTCGAGTGAAGTAATGAGCCATCTTTTTCACTTATCGTTCCGCTGACCGTTGCTTTCCTAAGACCAGTCGGTCGCATCAGTTTATATAGGACACGTTTTTCCCGTAGCAAAAGCCTTCTCCATCTCTCGGTCATTCCTTAGACTCTTCAATTTTTGGGATTTACGTGCGCCGCCGTACTCGTTGCCTGCTGGTATGGCTTTCCAGGCATGGATCATGGATAGCGATCTCGTCGTCATCCAGCGGTCTTTTTTTCGAGTAGGAGAGGTCGGACAGACAGCAGTGAACGCCGCTAACATAGCTCGTTTGACAATTCGCTACGCTTCATCCATGTGCTCGCTGCCATAAGAGAATTGGTTTACTGCGGAGAGTTGTTGCGCTTGCTCAGATCGATACTGTTGAGCCATCGTCGTTATTCGAAGACAGTGGATTGGCATGCTTCTTGTTAATTTGTGAGAGCCTGAAGTGAAGCGAACTGTAAGGGGTGCACGCACTATGGCGTGATCGGAATCAAGTGATGTGCCCCAGAGGGAGCGGCAGTCTTGAATTATGGCTCTCCAACGGTAGCTGATGGCCACGTGGTCCAACTGAGTCCACGGTTGATTTGTAGTTGGCGGCCCCCAGGTTGCACGATGCAGACGCTTATGCTGAAAGTCCGTACTTGCAGGAACCAGTTCCTGGTCAGCACACAACTGGAGGAGTCGATCTCCGTTGTCTGTGCGGTGGACATCGACTCCGACAGCGCACGCAAGCCCCTCAAATGCAAAAAGTGAAGGGTCGAAGGAAACATCAAAGGCTTTTGTGGCTGTTGAAAGCCCAGGAGTTGGAGAAGGTTTCTGCACCCGCAAACAACCATGCCCTATACCAATTGATACGACCGACTGGCCCTAAGAAGTACCCGCACTAAAATGGGAGAAGGCATCGAAACCGGATGGTTTGTATCCAGCCTTCTCCGCAGAAGGCCGAGTACCCTGGTGACCCATCTGATATGGAGTGAAGAAAAACTCAGCAGGATGAGGCACGCCGATGATTATTCAAACAGCCTGCGCGGTAGCTGTGTGAAAACCACCATGGCATCACTCTGGTAGCTGCGGAATCGAAAGTGGTCTCTGCACTTGAAGACTGACTGAAACAGAGAGAGACAGATCCGTAACCCTCTGACATTCCGGAACAGCGACACCATTTTCAGCAACCGACATTCATGGCTTGAAAGCTACCTTCGACCGTAAGACAGTCTGGCAATGTTTATGGACTAAGGGTATTCCCCGTAAGCATCTGATCCTCCTTAAGGCGCTGTACACCGACTCCGGGGACATGTGAAGGTCTACGGGAAGCTCTGATCAAGTGGTGTCCGACGGGGCTGTCCTCTTTCACCTTCCCTCTTCAGTTTCGTCACTGATATGATTACGGAAGACTCATTCCTAGGCTCTAATGCATGTAGGATCGAAGTGGTGCCAGGGTATTCGCTTGTAGATATCGAGTACGCAGACGAAATAGCTCTCCTTGGATCTGAAGTCGTGAAGCAAACAATATTACATAATCTAAATAATTCTGCCTCACGGTTTGGCATGCGCTTCACACGTACAAAGTGTAAAGTACTACTGCAAGACTGGGTGGGCTCGAGCCCTGACCCCATGCTTCCGAATAAGCCGATTGAGGTAGCAGACAAATTTGTTTGCCTGGGCAGCTGGATCAGTCCAGCGGTCTCGCGAGAGATGACTCTCCATCCGGATTTGGAATGCCAGATTGGCTTCCGTGAACCTGCATCTTTTGCGGTGTAGGTGTGACACTGGCTTATCTGCCAAGCGTCGAGTTTATAATGCTGCGGTGCGGAAACCTGACCGCTGCGCGATCAGAAAGTCAAAAGACTTACAGTTTGACCATCGATGTCTTTGGATCATTGCCCGAGTCTGGTGGGAGCACTGGATCTGCAATGCTGAAGTACGTCTGATGGTTTTCGTGAGAGATAACTCACCCTTGATAGATGAACTAATCACACTGCATAGGTTGCACTGGCTTGGATATGTGATCCGTATACCCGTTAGTCGACTTCCTCGAAGGGTTCTTTCCGCATAACCACGTGAAAGGGGGAAGCTAGTATGAAGTATGGGAGCCAGTAATAGCAAACACATGCGTTGGTCATTGTCTCCTCCCTGGATGGGGATCTCGAGACGGGACAGATCAATCGTTGGAGATATTGTGAGACATGGCCCAGTCGAACCCTCAATAGCGCTAACGCATGCGACCAATGCGCAGCTCTCTCCCGATCTCACCAGCGAAATGTCCACCGACACCACTGTATTTACGCATCAATTATATCAGCTACGAACTCCAATGCGTAGCTATCTAGCCCCCCTCCAAACCAATGGCGAACGAAACTGTGGCAGCAAGAACCACTGTAGGGCAACTTGTGCAAAGCATCAGTAGCATGTGGGAGACGAATCAACTTGATACAGAGACTACTAGCAGAGAGCATCGGACTAATCTGCGTTGAATCAAAGTAACTTACCAAATATAACAGTATTGGGGAGAAAGAACTCACCTCAAGGCAATTTTGTAGTCTCAAGCTGATAGCATGGTTAAGAATGTTCATGAATAACTGCGCCTTTACTGTGGTGTCCATACAGTCCTGAGCAAGACGAGCGGCTCGGTCCAAGCAGGCCAAGGCGGCCGTCCCATCACGCAGCTGGAATGGAACGGGGATAGAATAGGTGGCCTTGTGACCCTAGGTTGGATACAACGTATCTGAAACTGCCAGCTGGGGGCAAATACACACTAGTGGTACAAGTTTTGGAGGGACAGAGTCACACACGAGTGGTGTCCATATTCGATAACAACAAGGATAATAATAAAACAGATAATAGCAACAGAAATAATAATATCACGATGATTTATCTCAAAGTGATTAATTCGAATACAGACAATGTTCCCAAAAAAGATGCGTAAATATATCGGTTAACGGACTAGTTGGAATATGGCAAGATTTAAAACGACTTACAACTTTCAAATCGGACTCTGATAACTGTTCCAAGCATTCCCGAACTGTCTCCGTCTTTACAGGCTTTTCGGTTAGACTGACCATGACGCTTGGTTTGACATTTTGACGCATTAATATTGGGAGTGGCCAGTACAAATGCGCAGACGCAGCGACAGCTCGGCTCTGGTCATGTTTTCGAAGCAAGTGAGCAGCTGCCCGAGAGCACTGCGTCCGCAGGGTGTTACGATTATCATCGGTGAAACATCGCAACTGGCATAAAGTGCTGGTGATCAAACTCATTGAATCGATTTGAGCTCGGGCTTCTGATACCCCTTCTTCGTATAAAGTAAGTGCCTGAAAATAAAATTCAGGTCAAGCGAATGCAACAGTGTGCTAAATTATGAATAACCAAGGTAGGTGTCCTATTCTGCACACAAGGTTGCTGAAAACTCTTGAACAGCTCATGACTGATTTCGTCATTCTTGGGGCTCATCAGGTAGGGAGTCTCGGGCTTATCTGCCAAGCGTCGAGGTTATAATGCTGCGGTGCGGAAACCTGACCGCTGCGCGATCAGAAAGTCAAAAGACTTACAGTTTGACCATCGATGTCTTTGGATCATTGCCCGAGTCTGGTGGGAGCACTGGATCTGCAATGCTGAAGTACGTCTGATGGTTTTCGTGAGAGATAACTCACCCTTGATAGATGAACTAATCACACTGCATAGGTTGCACTGGCTTGGATATGTGATCCGTATACCCGTTAGTCGACTTCCTCGAAGGGTTCTTTCCGCATAACCACGTGAAAGGGGGAAGCTAGTATGAAGTATGGGAGCCAGTAATAGCAAACACATGCGTTGGTCATTGTCTCCTCCCTGGATGGGGATCTCGAGACGGGACAGATCAATCGTTGGAGATATTGTGAGACATGGCCCAGTCGAACCCTCAATAGCGCTAACGCATGCGACCAATGCGCAGCTCTCTCCCGATCTCACCAGCGAAATGTCCACCGACACCACTGTATTTACGCATCAATTATATCAGCTACGAACTCCAATGCGTAGCTATCTAGCCCCCCTCCAAACCAATGGCGAACGAAACTGTGGCAGCAAGAACCACTGTAGGGCAACTTGTGCAAAGCATCAGTAGCATGTGGGAGACGAATCAACTTGATACAGAGACTACTAGCAGAGAGCATCGGACTAATCTGCGTTGAATCAAAGTAACTTACCAAATATAACAGTATTGGGGAGAAAGAACTCACCTCAAGGCAATTTTGTAGTCTCAAGCTGATAGCATGGTTAAGAATGTTCATGAATAACTGCGCCTTTACTGTGGTGTCCATACAGTCCTGAGCAAGACGAGCGGCTCGGTCCAAGCAGGCCAAGGCGGCCGTCCCATCACGCAGCTGGAATGGAACGGGGATAGAATAGGTGGCCTTGTGACCCTAGGTTGGATACAACGTATCTGAAACTGCCAGCTGGGGGCAAATACACACTAGTGGTACAAGTTTTGGAGGGACAGAGTCACACACGAGTGGTGTCCATATTCGATAACAACAAGGATAATAATAAAACAGATAATAGCAACAGAAATAATAATATCACGATGATTTATCTCAAAGTGATTAATTCGAATACAGACAATGTTCCCAAAAAAGATGCGTAAATATATCGGTTAACGGACTAGTTGGAATATGGCAAGATTTAAAACGACTTACAACTTTCAAATCGGACTCTGATAACTGTTCCAAGCATTCCCGAACTGTCTCCGTCTTTACAGGCTTTTCGGTTAGACTGACCATGACGCTTGGTTTGACATTTTGACGCATTAATATTGGGAGTGGCCAGTACAAATGCGCAGACGCAGCGACAGCTCGGCTCTGGTCATGTTTTCGAAGCAAGTGAGCAGCTGCCCGAGAGCACTGCGTCCGCAGGGTGTTACGATTATAATCGGTGAAACATCGCAACTGGCATAAAGTGCTGGTGATCAAACTCATTGAATCGATTTGAGCTCGGGCTTCTGATACCCTTCTTCGTATAAAAGTAAGTGCCTGAAAATAAAATTCAGGTCAAGCGAATGCAACAGTGTGCTAAATTATGAATAACCAAGGTAGGTGTCCTATTCTGCACACAAGGTTGCTGAAAACTCTTGAACAGCTCATGACTGATTTCGTCATTCTTGGGGCTCATCAGGTAGGGAGTCTCGAAATACACTCATTTACACATCAATTTGGTCTATACAGGAGACTCAGCTGAATCTATCATTTACGATGTTCTTCAAATGAGTGTGCTACATGAAGGCCGCCTCGTGTTTCAGTTGGCACCGTATTCGAGATATTGCATTACCTTTTCTTAAATGAAACTTTTCATAAGGTTACTGCACATTCAACTGAATATCGTAAACGCGACATTCAACTGGGATGAAATCGAGTCTTCCGTAAAATCCAAACTGGTGTACAAACGAGTGTATTTCGTGAAGATGTGTATCCTCCGTGACCCTCAGTCACATTTCGTGGGTGGATCGCTTTGCTTGTATAGGCGGGAAACTCTGTGTATGAAGTTATCAGCGCTCATATCACTGTTATGTAAACTCACAGCCAAATAGACGGATTGCGATCAGCCTGTTTTAGCAATGCTATCATTTGGAACGGCCAAACACTGGACGCATTACTCTATCAGCTTCAAAACGGTAAACAAACACGGTGTGCAAACGAATCCCAGAAGCTATGCACAAGGTAAGTATTGTGGCTTTGCACAACCAAACACAAACCGTCAAAAACAGAGATAGAGGAATTCAATCAATCCACTCTCTTGTTACCACAACTAAAAAATGCCACGACCGTGCACAATTCACTGTAGAATGAAAATTCCGGTTGGACGTTACCTATTTTCAGCGATTTTCAGAATGTCCATCGTAATTTTAACGTAGCGGTCGATAAAAGTTGTTTCCTGTGGGGTTAAACGCTCATTTGCGAACTGAGGCTGGGTTAAGTTGGGGCTCAAACGACTGGGTTCCAAACCAGAAAAACTGGTGAAACTTTCATTACATCAAATGACATTTTGTCAGAAGTGCCCTTTTCTGTATGATGCGCTGAAAGTAATCACTTCTCACGAGTGGGTCACATATTTTTTTAACATTTCTATTACCACTAACTAGTGCATCACATCCGAATACGACTGACTAGGGCTAATAAATTTCTTAGGTGTAACAATCCATCGCATTCAGAGCAACATGCTTATCTGTTCGCATAATGAAGTAGGACTGGCGAAAATTTACCGACAGTAAACATTTCACGGGTCAATCCACTACAGTTGGTACGTCTAACAAGTGTTAGCTCAGCACAAATGCAAAGAGATTATGCACGCAAGTTTCCGTGATCAATGTACGGTTGGATGAGGTCATACGTTACATCGAGAAATAACCGACTCACGACCGATGACTGCATCAGAACCCTAAGACAAGGCATTCTATCGGACTGATGAACCGTACCTACGGTTTTCTACTACGCTGTCGCGCTAATGGGCTGACAAGTCTGCAAGAAAGACTACAACGTTCAACAGATACAAACAAAACTCCCAGACCGCCACTTACCTGGGAAACGAATTCATAGGTCATTGATTCACGTTTAGAAAATTCCACTCGGTCGATGACAAGTGAGGCTTGGAGGAACAAGCGGAGAGCTATTTCTGGGGCGTCGGTGGCCACCAAACAGGTAATGCATCGGTGGACAAATGATACAACCTTGTGAACAGCGTCATCCCAATCGCCTTGTTTATCTTCCAGCTCTGAGTAGGCTTGAATAAGTTGGAGACCCTAAGAAAAGTCACAAAGTTGAAAATCCACAAACGTTTCCAAAGGTCGGCTCCCAAAGTCTTCTACTCAGCATAGGAAAAGATTTTCCTTCAGATAATTATTAACTGAGATTTTGTTTAGCACACAGGGATACAAATTTATTGACTAGTCTGCAATTCTCACGTGTCTATCAGTAGAATGTGTATTGAACAATTCTGACACATTTCCAAAGGGATAATAGCTTTTCCCGAATGACACGTGCAGTGAGACGAAAGTTGTAAAACCTCGCCTCAAATGGACAAGTCTTAAAAGCATCTCTTTTCACCCTACTTTGAAGATCTTTCCTTTTCTCAATTTGCAGGAATTACAGGAATTCCGATTCGTCTTTCCAGGAGAATTCCCTTGAATTCTTCAACCTGATGCACGGTCAGAGTGGCCCAAGGGATAGTCGGTAAATATTACTTGAGTGAAAAATGTGCAAACAAACCAAGGTATAGATGGTAGAAAACCACATACGAAGTTAAGCGATGATGTATGCCCACGTGTTTTCCAGTCGCCAAGTTCGTCAAAAATAATGAATGGTATACAAAGTGTTTGCCGCTGATCCCACAAACATCCGACTACACCAAGTGACCACAAGTTTAAACAGTCGAAAAACTTGTAATTGTAACAACTAAGGGATAAATGGAAACGCTTGGCTGAAGTGAAATATGAATAAATAATAAATCATTCAGGTATAACACTCTTCCGGTGCCTAGCTGCCATGTCACCCGAAGGAAGCACGAGGGTTGGGATAGTGCCACGTTGCCCAAGCCCAGACAGGAGAAATCGAGATGCAGAGGTTGGTTTCGAACTACGGACCTTTCCGTTCACGCTCTAACCGCTGAGCCGTCTCGCCCCGCCGGTACGTCAAAGCCATAGTGTTAACCAAAAGATGGACGAGGGCTGAGATACTACTAGAATGCCCAAGCCTAAATAGGAGAAGTCGAGGTGCAGACGTTCGGTTGGAACCACGGACTTTCTGGTCAGTAAATTTGCGCTCTAACAACTGAGGCGTTTTGAGGTTGGCTGAAGCGGCACGTCACAGACAAGAATTAAACTGCAAGCATGTCATCATCATGACAGCATAACATCAGTGTTCAACTCTGATATTCCATCACCTTAGCAGGCATATACAAACCAGCAGTGGAAAGGTAAGCTACCCCACAACATCCAGAGGGAATTTAGATTGGGTGGCGACAAAAAATGAGATTCAACTCCGCTACATAATACGCCCCAATTTAGTTAACAAAACTAGTCGCCCATAAACGAAGTTGTTTACAATCGAAAATCCACTGCGTAACTTGGAAATACGGTACTCAAGAGATAACAAATCATCTGTTGCGGGATCTTGAGACGGAAATCACGCCAACCTCTCTTCAGTTAGTGGCTCTTGCTGAACAGCGCATAAGTCCGTATGAGCGAAGTGCCAAAAGTGGTTCGATTAGTGCATGGCTGCCATTATGTAACCGTCTCCAGTACAAGCCTCGGACTGTGCGTATGTAAACAATGTATGTACACAATTACTAACGTTCGTTTCTGGAAAGTAATTACACGCAATGGGGCCTGGTTTATAAAGGCCCAATTGTTGCAGACGAAAACCCAGTCCTATAAAGCCCAGTGTTTATTCTTTTTACATAGAATGATTCCAGCGACACACCTCTTAGGATTTATCTTACGTTAACCCTAACCATTGCAAAGCACTTTCGTTTCGTTAAAAATCCATCAACCATATACATCACGAACACACACTACTAATGGCACCATAAATATAGATGAAACATGCAAGTGCTTTTCCTGGAGTGAAGGTTACTGACCAGTGGCTACATCATGATCACAAGTTGTGACGTGCGTAGAAGCATAGTGACGCCACCTTCTGGTGAAAACTTGGTAGGTAGTGAAAAGGGATTTCCCTCAGTCCCATTGAATTCCCGTCGGTTTGGGTCATAATTCGTATGCTGCTTGTCAAAAATGGCTGACAATGGTGGTATTATGAGATTAATGTTCGCTGACTGCAGAAAATTCCTTCGAAAGCTTGATCACTTACAACGGAGGTTGAAATTTTGAATAACCAAGGAGAAGATACTTCGTGATATGTTTGTTCCACTATCTGGGGTTGTGAAGTCAACACAAGCAAGACAAAGAATAATGACTGTAGCGTGGACAAGTATTGGTTGCATGCATTTGGGCGCTAATAATTTAGGGTTCAGCTTTCGCCACAACACTTGGACGAGGTTTGCCAATGCCAGGAAGGTCAATGGGGGGCAGATAGATCAAGAGCAGCGAGACTCCGTGCTACGAGGTGTCTGAGGGTAAAGTCGTACGGCCCTCAGTGACAGAAGTGGGAAGACAGTAAGGTATTTACCATGAGTAACCAGGATGTCCATATTCATCCAAACAAACAGTTTAGCTGGCCTGCTGCCGTCTCTCTGGATAAGAACACCAAGGCGGGACGCATCAAAGGTTGGAGACATCGTGAGATGTGGATCAGTCACGCGCCCAATGATGCTCATGCATCCGACCTGTTGCTTGCCATGCACAGCCCCAACCCCATCACCTTAACAAAAGTCCACCAAACCACCTCCAATACATGGCTTTCTATCCCACCTCTCCGAGCCATCAGAGAGTAGAACTGAGTCCCACAACACCTGCACGACAATTACACGGCTCTCACAGTTGATGATGATGAATTCATTGATTATATAGTCACATCTGAACTAAAAACGTGGGCGAACTCTGGACCGTTTGGTTCAAAGTAGCTGTTTCCTGATAGTTCTGCTAGGAAACCGTTCCTAGACTGCGCCCTGATCCGTGTTACATAACGGTCCAACTCTGTAGAACAAGAACTGACCAGGAAACGCCTGTTCACCGCCGGTGCAGATCAACTGTCACCAAGAAACTGGACCTTACGGTGGTGTGACGGTATATGTACTTTCGCGACACATTGAGCTACACTGGGGGGGGGTATCCGTGTGACAGT